CCAAATTACTAGTATTTGAGATTTGGGATTTGGGATTTTGGCAAAAAATACTAATCATAATTTGGGATTTGGGATTTCGGCATTTGGAATTTTGGCATTTGGATTTTGAATTTGGGTGGCAGGTATATACAGGAGTAGGAATATTTTCATGACTCATATTTCGCGTGTTGTTATTTTCAAGTTTGCACTAGATCTTGTGGCCTTTAATTATCTACTAATTTTAACAATTTCTCTCGCAGCATCTGCAGTATTCCTTGTGTCTTAGACTTTGTTATTTGTCTGCTCACAGTCTCTATGGTCTTTCTCATATTTCAGGTGTTATTCAAGTCTCTATTTTTCAAGAAATAAGAGGCAAAGTGAAGTGTTTCTTGATCAAGGAGGTGGCAGGGAAATTTATATCATTTGAATTCTTATGTGACACAATTAGATTACTGGAATTTTGATTACACACTAAAAGTCTAATTCTTTTTTAATTAATTTAAATAGACTATCAGGATTTTCATTGTATGTAGATTCACATCTAATCTATAGATACTAATTAATTAATTTAATTAGTTTAAATAAACTTTTTCTAAACTCTAAATTCTTCCTTTCTTCCTCTTCTAAGGCAATTATGAAATTAAGGAAAATGGAAATTATGAACAATGAAGGAAAAATATTATACTAATTCTAGTTCAGGAATTGTGTGAATTCTTCTATTCAAGTATAAGAACAAAATCACTTAAAATATTTCCGGGATTTAAACAAGTTTAACAAGAGATTAAGATATGTATGATTTTTTTTTTCTTAAAAAATTTTCTAAGTTAATTGTACTAACTAAAGGAGTATTATATTTTAATTAGATAAGTAGTAAAAGATAAAATAAAAGAAAATAAAAATATAATAATATAAAAAAAAATAATATAAAAAAATAATAATAATAATAAAAAATAAATAAATAAAAAATAGAAAAATAATTAAATCAATATAATTTTAAATGGATTTTTACTAATATTTTTAATCTATTTGTAAAGAAAAGAAAAGAAAACAAAGAAATAAAGTTCTTTGTTTTTTGCAACTTGGGCAGAAGAATAAGTGAAAGAAAAGTGTTCCGGGGTAATAAGAATCTTCAGGGCTTGTTATGAAGTTTGAAGAATAAAGAAAGGGGGAGGTTTCTTGAGTAACATAATTAATGACAACAGTAGGAACTTCTATTCTGGAATGGTATAACTTTAGTCTGTTACCATGCGCAGATCTCATTAATACTTTCATTTCTTTATTTCTCAATTTGTAAGTACCATTTCTAAAAATTTGATAGATATAATAGGAACCTTCCATCCTTCTAAGCAAGAAATCTTAGTAATCTATAATATCTGCAGTTTCCAAAAGATAAGTAGTTATTTCTGTTTCTATAGGTAATAGTGCTTCTCTTCTATACAAAAAAAAGAATAGTTCATGTCAGGTTGTATTCTGCTAACTGGTCCAGTAAGCAAACAATATAGCCAGAATGAAAAAATTTCAGTCTTCATTAAATTGGCTATAGCATTTAAACAGAACATCACAAAGGGTCCAGTTGAATCTTTCTGTCAGTCCATTAGTCTAGAGGTGATAAACATTAGACAACCGGTATTTAACATTTATCTTTTTGCACATAGTATCTATTACTTGATTACAAAAATGACTTCCTTAGTCAGATAGTAGTTCTCTTGTGTAGCTATGTTAGCAAATTATATCCTCATAGAAAAAGGAAACTACATTGGTAGTATCAGTAATTAGGATAGTTCTGGCTTTGGGCCATTTGATCAGGTACTCAGTTACCACAATTATATATTTATTTTTTCAGGCTGTTATAGGTAGGGGGTCAACAATATTAATTCCTACTCTGTCAAAAGGGCTTTCAACTTTAATAGGATGTAGAGGTTCTTTGGTTTAGATTTTTCTCTTCTTTAACAAGTATCACAATATTTGACATACTTCTTTATGTCTTCTCCCATTTGGGACCAAAAATATTAGAGTGAAGTTCTCTAGAGAGTGGTTACAATATTAAAGTATTTGAAAAGTAGATCGGAATTCATAAAGAACAAGATGAATTTTTTTTCACTAGTTTTAATTATTCTTTGAGATCTTTGTGAATTTTTTAAGTTTCTTTTGTACACTATTCTTTCTCTTGTAAAATAATTTCAGGTTTGATATTTTAACTTCTTTATTTGGTTACTGATATAGTCTTCTGGGATATTAGAATTACTTAAGTAGTACAAGAAAAGATAATAGGTGTTAAAATCTATTCTAAGGTTTTTATTCTTTTAAAATTTGATTTCTATTCAAAATCTTTAGAGGTTTGTAAGGTAAGTAGATAAGTTTTGTTTTGGTTTCTTTGTAGTTTTACTTATTTGACTAAATAAATGCTAATTTTTCACTAATTAATTTAAAAGTGTTTGATAAGATAGTTTAATTTGTAGGTAACTAAATAATAATAAGGTTTTGTTTCTTTTTATAATTTCTAAAAAGTTTCTATCAAATATTTATTATTGGTTATTTTTAAGAAGGGAAGGAAAAAAGTTTTTAATATTCAATTCAGGACAAAATGTCAACATTGAAATGAATTTTTCGAGACTTATAAACAGTAGTAAAGGAGTATTCTTGAAGAATGGCAATTCATCTTGCTAATCTATTCTGGGGTATCTTATATGCAAATAGAGACTTTAGAGTGAAGTAATTAGTTATAAGAGTAAAATGAGTTTCATGGAGATATTGGTGAAAGTAAGATATAGCCTAAACAACTACTAGGCACTCTTTCTCAATGACTATATAATTCTTTTCAGTCTAGGACAATGATCTACTTATATAAACAATGACTTTCTCTAGTCCTTCTGGATCCTCTTGTGACAAGATAATTCATAGAGCTATATCAGAAGCATTTGTGAAAAGAAGGAATTCTTTTTCAAAGTTTAGATAAGCCAGGATCAGAACAGAAATAAAGTAAATTTTCAATTGATCAAAAACTTTCTGCTGTTCTTCAGTTCATCTATATATAACATTCTTCTTAAGCAACTTATTCAATGGAACAGTAATGGTAGTGAATCTCTGGACAAATCGGTAATAATAAGAAGCTAATTTAAGGAATTCTCGAAGCTGTCTTAAATTCTTGAGAATCAGGAAGTTCTTAACCACTTCTATCTTATTTGGGTCTGTAGAAATTTCACCTTCTTCTACTACATATCCTAGGAATTTCAGCTTCTTTTGGGTGAAGGAACATTTTTGGGATTTCAACTTCAGTTCGATTTTATAGAGAATGTCAAATACTTCCTGGAGATATTTCAGATGGTTCTTAAAAGTTCTAGAATATATATTCAAATTATTCAGGTATACAATTACACTTTTCCTAATCAAGTCAGAGAATAGAAAGTTCATTAATTGCTGGAAAGTGACTAGAGCATTAGTAAGGCTAAAGGATATTACATTGAATTGATATGTGCCTAAAAGGATAATGAAAGCTGTCTTCTCTTTGTCTCTTGGATCCATTTCCACTTGTCAATAGCTACTGGTAAGGTCCAGGAAAATATACCAAGAGAATTCTTCAGCATGTCCAATAATTCATCAATCTAGAGTAGTAAATAATTGTCTTTCTTGGTTAAGCATTCAGTTTCCTATAATTAATACAAATTCAAATTTTTCTTTCTGCTTCACCAAGACTACTAGAGAGATCCACAGACTTATAGAAAGGGAAATAATATCTTCTTCCAACATTCTAGAAACTTCTTCTTCTAAGAACTTCTTTTCTTTTGGAGAATGCCAGTAAGGTCTTTGTTTGATTGAAAATGTACCTCCAGAACAAATCTTATATCAAACAATGTCAGTACGGCCTAACTGATCAGAAGTGAAAGCAAAGTTTTCTATATTCTTTTGTAGCAAAGAATTCAATTTATCTCTTTACTCTTTTACTAATTCAGGATTAATTTTAACATCAAAGACTTCATTTTCATTAAAGAAATAACAATTAAGAATTTCATTAATTTCATTATCTTTGTTTTCTTCATCAGATGTCCTTTCCAAGTTTTCTTTTAAGTTTCCTTTATTTTAGAACGAAACTCCGAGCTCATCCTTACTCCGAAGTTCTCTGAATTTTATTCAATCTTTAAATGAATATACAGTTATTTATCTAATTCTTCTTCTTGAAATTCTTCTTCATTTTCAGTATTAGATTCAGTTCCGTTCTCTTCATCTGGGTCTTTCAGACTTTCTACAATTACCAGTCTATCACTTTCAAAAGGTTGAAAAAGAAGTTTTCTGAATTTCACCAGGACTCTAACCTTTTGGTTATCCTAAAGAATAATCATCTCTGAGATACTCTAGTTTATATTGGCTTTGACCTTGGAAAACCAGTCATTTTCTACAATCGCTTAGTAGGTTTAGGCATCAGTTACAACAACATCAATTAGGATTTGACAACTACTAACTTCAAAAGGAAAGTTAGATATTTCTTCTACTACTTTCTTATTTTTATCATGAACATTAATCATACTAACAGTAGATAGCCTTTTTACTTTTATACCAATCTTCTGCAATAAGTAGAAAGTAATAACACTTCTGAAAAATCCACTATTAACAATTAGAAGAATAGTTTTGCCTTTCACCTTGATATCACAATATAGGGTAGTGGACCTATAATTGAGTTGGATCCTTATATTGGTTCTTTATTTTCTTTTAGGTGAAACTTTCTTCTTTTATAGACTTTTCATCAAATCCTGCCTTATTCCGGAGGTACCAAGAAGTAATTGACCATAAGTAATATTAACTTTCTAATTTTGCAAGTTTACTACAATAAAGTACTTAGGAATGAGCAAAACAATCTGTGGCAGTTTCTTTTCCGTTGATTTCCTTCTTGAACTAGGACTTTTCTAGTTTTTGAAGCTACTTTCGACTTTTCTACTGGAGCAGGTTCTTTCTCTGGAACTTGAGTCTTAATGACATCACCAACATGAACTTCAGGTTTACTAGGTTCCTTAGATACTTCTACTGTAACTAGTGAGATCTTTGGAGCTGAATCTTCTTTAACTTTTCCTTTGAATGGAGGTCAGGTTAAAACAGGATCTTTCTTAGTTAAAGAATTTGGACCACTTCAATCAGTCAGATAGTAAAGTATACTATCATACTTATAAGATTGAAAAGACTATTGGATTCTTATTAGACATCATTATTGAAAAGCTAATTATTTCCAACCTGATTCACAATATTTGTTAAAAGGGCTTAGAGAGTCTGATTAAGGTCAGAAGAATCACTAGAAGGTATATTGTTTAGAATTGGATTACTACTTGCTTGAGCTGAATTTTCCAAAGGAACATTGTTAGGTGAGGTAAGTGGTGAATTATTATTTTCTTGATTATTGCCAAAATTATTCCTAATATTTTTATTAAAGTTTTTTTAGGATTCAGAGCAGTTTTTACTCATGTGTTTGGAATTGTTACAATTGTAACAGGATACTTAAAACTTATTGTCATTATTACCACCATAATTATTGTTACTAAAATTTCTAACCTGTCTGGAGTTTTCTTTCTTTTGTAGGTTATTTACTTGAGACATATAAAATTTACTACTTTAGTCAATTTATGGATTGCAGTTTCAGTTGGATTAGTTGGAACCAGAAGATTTACAGGAGAAAGAAAACTATTATAAGGTTGGATTGGAATATAAGAAGAGGCCAGACCATTCAGATTATAAAATAGAGCTAGGATATGAAAACTTAAAAGAGATGCATAAGTAGGATTCTACTTGAGAGTACTCTCATATGCTTTCGCTCTACTGTATATATCAGGAAAATTGGCAACAGTCCTAAATTATCAAATAAAGAGAGGCTTTAAGCTTCAATTTTGATAGTTAACATTATTCCATCTATTTACTGTTAAATTCTAGTTCTTTTTTATGGTTCACCAAGTAATAGCAAAATCTCTAAGTCAGTGAGTAATAACAGTAATCTTTCGGTTTTGAGAAACTACATCAGTAATTATATTTATTCGAAAACCTTCGAAATTATATCGTAACGTTAGATTTCGAAGGTTATTGATTGTGTCGCAACTATACTTGCACACAAAATTATTTTGGGATCCTGAAATTACAATTTTGGAAAAAAAAGTCAAAATAGTTTTTCATAGAAGACGAAATTATTTTACTTAAAACCTGAAATTTTTTGACCACCCAG